CGTCTTCGGACACTACTACGGAGCCATGTGAGACTACCACGGAGCCATGTCTGAATTCCACGTCTTCCGAAACTACCACAGAACCCTGTGAGACCACGACGGAGCCATGTCTGAATTCCACGTCTTCGGACACTACTACGGAGCCATGTGAGACCACGACGGGGCCATGTCTGAATTCCACGTCTTCCGAAACTACCACAGAACCCTGTGAGACCACGACGGAGCCATGTCTGAATTCCACGTCTCCTGAAGCTACCACAGAACCCTGTGAGACCACGACGGAGCCATGTCTGAATTCCACGTCTTCGGACACTACTACGGAGCCATGTGAGACTACGACGGAGCCATGTCTGAATTCCACGTCTTCAGAAACTACCACTGAGCCATGTGAGACCACGACGGAGCCATGTCTGAATTCCACGTCTTCTGAAACTACCACAGAACCCTGTGAGACCACGACGGAGCCATGTCTGAATTCCACGTCTTCGGACACTACTACGGAGCCATGTGAGACCACGACGGATCCATGTCTGAATTCCACGTCTTCCGAAACTACCACAGAACCCTGTGAGACCACGACGGAGCCATGTCTGAATTCCACGTTTTCCGAAACGACGAATGAGCCATGTGAGACCACGACGGGGCCATGTCTGAATTCCACGTCTTCCGAAACTACCACAGAACCCTGTGAGACCACGACGGAGCCATGTCTGAATTCCACGTCTCCTGAAGCTACCACAGAACCCTGTGAGACCACGACGGAGCCATGTCTGAATTCCACGTCTTCGGACACTACTACGGAGCCATGTGAGACTACGACGGAGCCATGTCTGAATTCCACGTCTTCGAAAACAACGAATGAGCCATGTGAGACCACGACGGAGCCATGTCTGAATTCCACGTCTTCTGAAACTTACACAGAACCCTGTGAGACCACGACGGAGCCATGTCTGAATTCCACGTCTCCTGAAACTACCACAGAACCCTGTGAGACCACGACGGAGCCATGTCTGAATTCCACGTCATCAAAAACGACGAATGAGCCATGTGAGACCACGACGAAGCCATGTGAGACCACGAGGGAGCCATGTCCGAAATCCACGTCTTCCGAAACTACCACAGAACCCTGTGAGACAACGACAGAGCCATGTCTGAATTCCACGTCTTCGGACACTACTACGGAGCCATGTGAGACTACGACGGAGCCATGTCTGAATTCCACGTCATCAAAAACGACGAATGAGCCATGTGAGACCACGACGGAGCCATGTCTGAATTCCACGTCTTCCGAAACTACCACAGAACCCTGTGAGACCACGACGGAGCCATGTCTGAATTCCACGTCTCCTGAAGCTACCACAGAACCCTGTGAGACAACGACAGAGCCATGTCTGAATTCCACGTCTTCGGACACTACTACGGAGCCATGTGAGACCACGACGGAGCCATGTCTGAATTCCACGTCTTCTGAAACTACCACAGAACCCTGTGAGACCACGACGGAGCCATGTCTGAATTCCACGTCTTCGGACACTACTACGGAGCCATGTGAGACCACGACGGAGCCATGTAAGACTACCACGGAGCCATGTCTGAATTCCACGTCTTCCGAAACTACCACAGAACCCTGTGAGACCACGACGGAGCCATGTCTGAATTCCACGTCATCAAAAACGACGAATGAGCCATGTGAGACCACGACGGAGCCATGTCTGAATTCCACGTCTTCCGAAACTACCACAGAACCCTGTGAGACCACGACGGAGCCATGTCTGAATTCCACGTCTTCTGAAACTACCACAGAACCCTGTGAGACCACGACGGAGCCATGTCTGAATTCCACGTCTTCGGACACTACTACGGAGCCATGTGAGACTACGACGGAGCCATGTCTGAATTCCACGTCTTCTGAAACGACGAATGAGCCATGTGAAACAACGACAGAGCCATGTCTGAATTCCACGTCTTCGGACACTACTACGGAGCCATGTGAGACCACGACGGAGCCATGTGAGACTACCACGGAGCCATGTCTGAATTCCACGTCTTCTGAAACTACCACAGAACCCTGTGAGACCACGACGGAGCCATGTCTGAATTCCACGTCTTCGGACACTACTACGGAGCCATGTGAGACAACGACGGAGCCATGTCTGAATTCCACGTCTTCGGACACTACTACGGAGCCATGTGAGACCACGACGGAGCCATGTCTGAATTCCACGTCTTCTGAAACTACCACAGAGCCATGTGAGACCACGACGGAGCCATGTCTGAATTCCACGTCTTCGGAAACGACGACTGAGCCATGTGAGACCACGACGGAGCCATGTAAGACTACCACGGAGCCATGTCTGAATTCCACGTCTTCTGAAACTACCACAGAACCCTGTGACACCACGACGGAGCCATGTCTGAATTCCACGTCTTCGGAAACGACGAATGAGCCATTTGAGACCACGACGGAGCCGTGTCTGAATTCCACGTCTTCCGAAACTACCACAGAAACCTGTGAGACTACCACGGAGCCATGTCTGAATTCCACGAATTCAGAAACTACCACGGAGCAATGTGAAACCACGACGGAGCCGTGTCTGAATTCCACGTTTTCGGAAACTACCACGGAGCTATTTGAGACCACGACGGAGCCATGTCTGAATTCCACGTCTTCCGAAACTTCCACGGAGCCATGTGAGACCACGACGGATCCATTTGAGACTACCACGGAGCCATATCTGAATTTCACGTCATCAAAAACGACGAATGAGCCATGTAGACCACGACGGAGCCATGTGAGACCACGACGGAGCCATGTGAGACTACCACGGAGCCATGTCTGAATTCCACGTCTTCGGAAACGACGAATGAGCCATGTGACACCACGACGGAGCCGTGTCTGAATTCCACGTCTTCCGAAACTACCACAGAAACCTGTGAGACTACCACGGAGCCATGTCTGAATTCCACGAATTCAGAAACTACCACGGAGCAATGTGAAACCACGACGGAGCCATGTCTGAATTTCACGTCATCAAAAACGACGAATGAGCCATGTGAGACCACGACGGAGCCATGTGAGACCACGACGGAGCCATGTGAGACTACCACGGAGCCATGTCTGAATTCCACGTCTTCGGAAACGACGAATGAGCCATGTGAGACCACGACGGATCCATTTGAGACTACCACGGAGCCATGTCTGAATTCCACGTCTTCCGAAACTACCACAGAACCCTGTGAGGCCACGACGGAGCCATGTCTGAATTCCACGTCTTCCGAAACTACCACAGAACCCTGTGAGGCCACGACGGAGCCGGGTA